TTTTTTTTTTTTGAGAAGGAGTCTTGCTGTGTCACCCAGGCTGGAGTGCAGTGGTGCGATCTTGGCTCACTGCAACCTCCGACTCCTGGGTTCAAGCGATTCTCCTGCCTCAGCCTCCTGAGTAGCTAGGATTACAGGCACGCTCCACCATGCCCAGCTAATTTTAGTATTTTTAGTAGAGATGGGTTTCACCATATTGGCCAGGCTGGTCTTGAACTCCTGACCTTGTGATCCGCCTGCCTTGGCCTCCCAAAGTGCTGGGATTACAGGCGTGAGCCACTGCACCTACCATGTTTTTTCTTTTTCTTTCTTTTTTTTTTTTCAGAGGGTCACTCTGTTGCCCAGGCTGTAGTGCAGTGGTACGAGCATGGCTCACTGAAGTCTAGCACTGCTGGACTCAAGTGATCCTCCTGCCTCAGCTGCCAGCGTAGCTGGGACTACAGGTATACGGGACCTCACTACATTGTCAGGCTGGTCTCGAACTCTAGGCTCAATGATCCTTGTCTCTCAGCCTCCTGGGTAGCTGGGACTACAGGTGCACATCACCACACCCAGCTAATTATTTCATTTTTTGTAGAGACAGAATCTTACTATGTCGCCCAGTCTGGTCTGAAACTGAGCTCAAGTGATCCTCCCGCCTCAGCCTCCCAAAATTCTGAGATTACAGGTGTGCTTCACTGTGCCCGGCCACTTTTTTTCCTTTTGAGACAGTCTTGCTCCAAGGCTGGAGTGCAGTGCCATGATCATAGTTCACTGCAGGCTGGGCTCAAATTATCCTCCTGTCTCAGTCTCCCGAGTAGCTGGGACTACAGACATGCACTGCCACAACTGGCTTTTCTTCTGGAAAGCCTGCAGTGAGTCACTGTCTTTTTTTTTTTTTTTTTTTTTTGGGACAGAGTTTCCCCCTTGTTGCCTGGGCTGGAGTGCAGTGGCACGATCTCACCTCACTGCAACTTCCACCTTCCAGGTTCAAGTGATTCTCCTGCCTCAGCCTCCTGGGTAGCTGGGATTACAGGCACCTGCCACCACGCCCAGCTAATTTTTGTATTTTTAGTGGAGACGGGGTTTCGTCATGTTTACCAGGCTGCTCTCAAACTCCTGACCTCAGGTGATCCACACTCCTCTGCCTCCCAAAGTGCTGGGATTACAGGTGTGAGCCACCTCACCCCACCTGTCTTCTCTAAGTGATGCGTCTGCACCTGTAAGATGGAAATGATAGAACAACTTCAGCTCCTGACCTCCTAGAAGCCAGGGCAAGGCCAGGGGTTGTCACTGATCCTAGCCCCTGGTCAGTCATTCAGCTTTCATCCTTAGCTCTCTCTGTCTCTCTCTTTTTGAGACAGCTCTACCGCCCAGGTTGGAGTGCAGGGGTGTGATCATAGCTCACTGCAGCCTGGAACTCCTGGGCCCAAGCAATCCTTCTTGACTCTTAAGTAGCTAGGACTACCAATGTGTGCCCATACCCAGATAATTTTTAAATTTTTCTTTTTTTTTTTTTTTTGAGACGGAGTCTCTCTCTTGTTACCCAGGTTGGAGTGCAATGGCGTGACCTCGGCTCACCGCAACCTCCGCCTCCTGGGTTCAGGCAATTCTCCTGCCTCAGCCTCCTGAGTAGCTGGGATTACAGGCACGTGCCACCATGCCCAGCTAATTTTTTGTATTTTTAGTAGAGACGGGGTTTCACCATGTTGACCAGGATGGTCTCGATCTCTTGACCTCGTGATCCACCCGCCTCGGCCTCCCAAAGTGCTGGGATTACAGGCTTGAGCCACCGCGCCCGGCCCTTAAATTTTTTATAGAGATGGGATTTCACTATGTTGTGCAGGCTTATCTGGAACTCCTTTGCTCAGGTGATCCTCTGGCATCTGCCTCCTGAAGTGTGATTACAGGCGTGAGCCACTGTGTCCGGCTGTCTCCACTCTTTGACAACACTTCTCTGTCTTCTTTGCCTTCTTCTTTTTCAGCCTTTAAAAATCATCCATCTGGCCGGTTGTGGTGATTCATGCCTGTAGTCCCAGCACTTTTGGAGGCCAAGGCAGGTGGATCACATTGTCAGGAGTTCGAGACCAGACTGGCCAATATGGTGAAATCCTGTCTCTACTAAAAATACAAAAATTAGCTGGGTGTGGTGGTGAGCACCCGTAATCTCAGCTACTTGGGAGGCTGAGGCAGAGAATTGCTTGAACCCAGCAGGCGGAGGTTGCAGTGAGCTGAGATTTTTTACAGAGATCTCCAGCCTGGGCGACAGAGTGAAACTCCATCTCCAAAAAAAAAAAACTGGCCGGGCACGGTGGCTCAAGCCTGTAATCCCAGCACTTTGGGAGGCCGAGGCGGGTGGATCACGAGGTCAAGAGATCGAGACCATCCTGGTCAACATGGTGAAACCCCGTCTCTACTAAAAATACAAAAAATTAGCTGGGCATGGTGGCACGTGCCTGTAATCCCAGCTACTCAGGAGGCTGAGGCAGGAGAATTGCCTGAACCCAGGAGGCGGAGGTTGTGGTGAGCCGAGATCGCGCCATTGCACTCCAGCCTGGGTAACATGAGTGAAACTCCGTCTCAAAAAAAAAAAAAAAAAAAAGAAAAAAAACCCATCCACCCAAAGTATCAATGGACGACTGAATAAGTTATGTATGGTGTAGCCATCCAATGAAATATTATTCAGCATTAAAAAGTAAGGAGGCCAGGTGCAGTGGCTCATGCCTGTAATCCCAGCACATTGGCGGGAAGAGGGAGTTGGATTATTTGAGGTCAGGAGTTCGAGACCAGCCTGGCCAACATGATGAGGCTCAATTAAAAATACAAAATTTTTGTATTTTTACAAAATACTAGAATTATCAACTATTAGAAATACAAAAATTAACTGGGTGTGGTGGAGGGTATCTGTAGTTCCAGTTACTCAGGAGGCTTAGGCAGGAGGATCATTTGAACCTAGGAGGTGGAGGCTGCAGTGAGCCGAGATCCTGCATGATGCAGCATTAGATCCTAGGCCAGCAAATAAATAAATAAATATTTATTTATTTATTTATTGTAACACAGGGTTTTGCTCCATTATCCAGACTGGTGTGGAGCAGCATGATCACAGCTCACTGCAACCTCAACCTCCTGTGCTCAAGCGATCTTCCCACTTCAACTTGCTCTCAAATCATGTAGCCAAACAATGCATATATACATACGTATATTATATATATACATATATATACACATATATATGGCAAATGTGGCAAAATGTGGGTGGTTGGTGAATCTGGACAAAGGGTTTTTTTTTTTTTTGAGACAGAGTTTCGCCCTTGTTGCCCAGGCTGTAGTACAATGGCACGATTTAGGGTCACTGCAACCTCCACCTCCCAGGTTCAAGTGATTCTCCTTGTACCCTCCCCAGTAGCTGGGATTACAGGCGGGATTACAGGCATGTGCCGCCACGCCTGCCTAGTTATTTTGCATTTTTAGTAGAGATGGGGTTTCTCCATGTTGGTCAGGCTGGTCTCGAGCTCCCGACCTCAGATGATTCGCCTGCCTCAGCCTCTCGAAGTGCTGGGATTACAGGTATGAGCCACCGCGCCTGGCCTTGGACAAAGGGTTTATACAGGTTGTTCATGCTATTCTGCAACTCTCATTTGTTTTGTTTTGTGGTGGGGTGTTGCTCTGATGCTAAGGCTGAAGTGCAGTGACACCCAGGCTCAAGTGATCCTCCCACTTCAGCCTCCCAAGTAGCTGGGACTACAGGCGCTCACCACTACATCCTGTTAATTTTCTTTTAACTTTTTGTAGTGGTGGAGGTCTTGCTGTGTTGCCCAGACTGATTTTCAACTCCTGGCCTCAAATGATCCTCCTTACTCCTCCCAATGTGCTGGGATTACATGCATGAAGAATCGCTTGAACTTGGGAGGTAGAGGTTGCAGTGGGCCAATGTCGGGCTACTGCACTCCAGCCTGGGTGACAGAAGGAGACCCTATCTCAAGGAAAAAAAAAAAAAAAAAAAAAAGAAAGAAAAGATAATTGATTAAATTGAGCCCCATGGGCTGAGGGACAAAGCTGTGTGGGGCATGGGGGTAGGGACTAGGGGGCTGGGGGTGAACCTTTGAGGGTCATACAGGGTAGTGATGAGGAAGTGGGTTGCTTTCTGGGAGGGCTGAGGGTAAGAAGAGTGTGTGTGCATGTGTGAGCACACACACGTGCATGTGACTCCGAGCATGGATCTGAGGTCTGAGGCTGCAAATGTCATCCTAGGCTACTGGCCTGGCTAAGTGGGTTTTAGCATTTCTTGTTCATTTGTTTGTGTTGATTTGAGTCAGTGTCTTGCTCTGTTGCCCAGGCTGGAGTGTTGTGGCATAATTTTGACTCACTGTAACCTCTGCCTCCTGGGCTGATGCGATTTTCCTGCCTCAGCCTCTCAAATAGCTGGGACTACAGGCGCACACGACCATGCCCACCTAATTTTTGTATTTTTAGTAGAGAGGTTTTTGCCATGTTGGCCAGGCTGGTCTCAAAGTCCTGACCTCAAGCGATCTACCCGCCTGTGCCTCCCAAAATGCTGAGGTTACAGGCATGAGCCACCGGGCCTGGTCTGAATGTTAGGTTTGTGAGTGTTTTCGATCAGAGGGTCTCGGGGAAGCTTGGTGCATGAGCTTGCGTGTGTGCGTCCGTGGCTGTGGGTCCATAGGTCTCTCAGGATGTGCCTGGCCTCAGTTTCCAGGGTTTCTGGGGGGCTGTGTTTTGTTCCGACTCCAGACACCTCACTGGGTGTATATTGGGGGATAGGGATGGGGTGCAGGGGCGTTCAAGAGGCTGGGTGTGTGCCTGCCCCTCCGGGTTCGGCCAGTGTCTCACTGCATGTTTGGCCTGGGTTTCCGAGGGTCCTCACGTCCCGGGCAGTGCGGGTAGAGGGTGGGCAGGGACCCCGGGAGGCCGGGTGGGGGGCGGGGGCGCGCAGGGCCGGCCCCGGGGCGTGGCGAGCCTCCGAGGGCTGGGGGCGGGGCGGCCCGTCCGCCTCACTTTGGCGAAGTTGGCGGCGCAGAGGCTGGCCCGGGACGCGCCCGGAGCCCAGGGAAGGAGGGAGGAGGGGAGGGTCGCGGCCGGCCGCCATGGGGCCGGGGGCCCGGGGCCGCCGCCGCCGCCGTCGCCCGATGTCGCCGCCACTGCCACCGCTACCCGTGCGGGCGCTGCCCCTGCTGCTGCTGCTAGCGGGGCCGGGGGCTGCAGGTGAGGGGCCAGGACCTGGCGGACGGGACCAGGGCGGCAGAGCGGGAGTGCAAGAACCCCCAAGGCCGGGGCTGGGGGGTCACGGGAGGCAGGAACCAGGGTCGGGGAAGGGGCGCAGGAGCCCGAGGCCGCGTGCCAGTATTGGAGGTCCCGGAGACTCAGAATGGGAAGGACCCCAGAGGCCCGAGGAACCGGGACCCTAGAGCGCTCAGAGCTGATGAAGGGACTCAGGAGCCCGAGACTGGGAGCTTGAGGTGCGGGGATCAGAGACTCGAGGTGGGGGGTGTACAGAGTCCGGGACTCGTTTCCCTCCAACTCACGCCTGGAGCCCTGGGAAGGTTATGATTGGGGGTCCAGGTACTCCCCGGCCGGGGACCTCTCGCACAAAAGCTCCCCCCCGCCCCCGACACCCCGGGGGGGCCAGGCCAGGCAGGGGGTGGGGAGGGGGCGCGAAGTTCTCGGAGCTCTGAACTCGGAGAAAACTTCCCAGGCCGGCGCTCAGCAAGACCCGGATTCGGAGTCGGAGCCGGAGCCTCGGCGGCGCGCGCGCCCCCTCCCCCACCCGCAGCCCCTCTCCCTCCTCCGGTCGCGGGGACCCGGAGGCCCTGGGACCCCGCCCCTGAGCGGGGAGAGGAAGGGGCGAGGACCCACGTGCTCTCCTCCAGCTCCAGTGCCCCGTCCCCGCGGCCCAAGCCCCTCCCCAGCGGGCCAGGGGCCCCCGCCCCTCCTCCTCTTCTCCCTCCCCTCCCCCGCTTGGGACAATGGCCGCGCCGTCTAGACACCCCCTCCCCCCGGCCGGCCTCGCGCTTTCTTTGCCAGACAAAGCGGGACCCGCGGCGGGGCCGGGGAGGGGGCTGCGAGGGCACCCCCCTCCCACCGCTACGGGAGGCCTGGTGGGCGGGGGAGGGGCGCGGGCCCAGGGCCCAGGCCAGGGGTCCCAGATGCCAGTAGTGCCTGGCGCTGGGCGAGGTGGGGGTTTCGGGATTGAACGGCCTCCGCAGCCCAGCCCCGGGGCCCGGACGGGGCAGGATCGGGCAGGAGCCGCCGCCTCCGCCGGACCAGCGGGGCACACACATGGCCTGTGACACACTTGCTGGCACACACAGCTCTAGGTCAGGTAACAGAGATGCAAGCGTACACACACACAGCACACACAGACATGCACACCTGGCTCAGGAAAGACAACCAGCGGCAAGCACACAGCTCACACGTTGACATAAATGCACACAAATATAATCACACGTACTGCGCGTCGCTAGTGCAAGCTGTGGCACGCACGCTGCCTGCACACACTCAGACAACACATAGATGAAGATTCAAGGACATGCTTAGATTCAGCTCACACATGCAGAGGAACAGACACAGCCAACCCATACACAGACACCAATGCACACACAGTTCACACCAACAACACAGCTGTACACCCAGATACATGGTTCGCATGCACAGACGCACAGCAGACAGTCTACATATAGACGGCACACACATCTGTGCACTCCCATATGGGTGTGCAGTTCATACACACACAGGCACACCCACGCAAACATGCATGCACAGATAGACTCACTTGTAGCCACACAGGGACACAATAGATGCATGCTCATATCCACATGCAGACTGACACACAAGCCCATGCACGCACTCACATGTGTCTCACATTGCCTACAGCTCAGCATGGCCCATAGCCCGTGTTATGGGACCCACAGTGTGAGTTCACAAAAACCCACAGGTCCTGGTGTGGGTGATAGTGTCCAATCAGCTTGTCCTGTGAGGAAGGGGACATACATCATGTATACCCACGCTCAGGTTTAGTTTGACTCATTCTGTCACTCACCCTCTTGCTTTCTATTTCTCTCTCTCTCTTTTGAGAGGTGGTCTCACTCTGTTACCAGGCTAATGTGCAGTGGTGCGATCTCAGCTCACTGCAAACTCTGCCTCCTGGGTTCAAGCGATTCTCCTGCCTCAGCCTCCTGAGTAGCTGGGATTACAGGCACATGCCACCACACCCAGCTAATTTTTGTATTTTATTTTATTATTATTATTTTTTTGAAACAGAATTTCCCTCTTGTTGCCCAGGCTGAAATGCAATGGCGCCATCTGGCTCACTGCAACCTCTGCCTCCTGGGTTCAAGCGATTCTCCTGCCTCAGCTTCCCGAGTAGCTGGGATTACAGGTGCCCGACACCACGCACAGCTAATTTTTGTATTTTAGTAGATGGTGGGTTTCGCCATGTTGGCTAGGCTCGTCTCGAACTCCTGACCTCAGGTGATCCGCCTGCCTCAGCCTCCCAAAGTGCTGGGATTACAGGCATGAGCCACGGTGCCAGGTCGCTTTCTGTTTCTTTCTGTCCTTCGCTGTCTTCTCCTGGTCCATTTGCTTCTAGTTCATTCTTTTGTGTCTTTCCATTTTTCTCCATCTTCCTTCCTGTCTCCATCATCCTCTCTCCGAATGCACACATGCCATGGCCCCACACCTGCACACAATTCTCCACTAGCTCAGACCCAGCCACACCCTGGACCCGTCTGGTAGGACAGTTAGACTGTGCCACACCCTAGAGAGACACAGCCTGGGGGATGGCGACATTGGACAGGGCAGCACATGTTTTGTGCCAGTTGCCCCTCCCTCCAACACACACCCTATTCCTGCAACACCCAGCGCTGGCTACCCCTGGAGATGCAAGGCATGTACTAGTGGGTACATGCCTTGGCCCTTCTCCCCAGAGCACCACACAGGCCTGCCCAGCTGGAGTAGATGCCCATCAGAAAAAAGGAAGACCTATGGCCCTAGGGCCCCCTGCCCCTTCTCCTTCTATTACCCCTGAACCTGGGCATGAAGCCCCAGACCTCCCTGTAACACTCAGCGCCCTTACTTCCTGTCTTGGCACACCCCCTTCTGCACATCTTAGCTCTGGCAGCTTCCCGAGCCCCCACATCTGGCACAAGACAGCCCCTCCTCCTGCCCGCCCCTGCTTTGTGGTTCCCAGGGCTCGAGCTGGCAGGGACAGCTGCAGCCTCAACAGCTGGGGCTGGGGCCGGGGGGCCGTGGGAACTGTGAATGGGGGGACTCCCTGCACCCGCAGAGATGCCCCCAGCCCCAGGCAGCTGTTGCCTGGCTGAGGGAGGGAGGGGGTTTGTCACTCAGGACTGGGGTTCCTGGGCACCTGGCTGACCCCCAACCTTCCTTCGCCCCCCACACAGGCCCCCCTTGCCTGGACGGAAGCCCGTGTGCAAATGGAGGTCGTTGCACCCAGCTGCCCTCCCGGGAGGCTGCCTGCCTGTGAGTGCCTGGCTCAGAGCCACCAGTGGGCCCTGTGGGGGGCAGGGACGGTTTGTCTTCTCCCTCTGCCTCTGTGTTCCCCATGGATGCCTCTACCACTTCCTACATGTGTGTGGCTTGGGCAACCGCTCTTGTTTCCCCATTGGAAACTGAGCAGGGGCTCTGCAGTCTTCCCAGCCTGGGTTCAAGTCCCACATCATGTTGCTGATCGACTAGGAATTAAACTCTTTGCGTCTCAATGTCGTGGTCTGCAAAATGGGACCAGTAATCCCAGCTTCACAGTTCTTGGCCACCTGGGGTCACATGTAAAGCCCCTCCATGAGGCAGGTATTATTCAATCAACAAACTATCAGGGACCAATGGCAGCGGCTCACACTCTCCACACCCCTCCCATTTCTCAACATTTAGTTGAGTCCGCCTCTGCCACTTACTTGCGGTGTGATCTTGGGTGGGTCACTTTCCCTTTCTGATCATCATTGCACCTGTGAAATAGGTAGGGAATGCTTCACCCTGGCGACTATGAAGGGGCTTAACAATTTAGTTGTTAGCTAACCCAAGGAAAGGCAGAGGGTTTCAGGGAGCAGAGCAGAGGCTGGGAAAGAGCTGAGCAGAGACAGAAAGAGCTCAGTTTGAATTCTGGGCCCTTGGACACCTTGAACATTCAAGCTTTCTGAGCCTCAGTGTTTGCATCCAGAAAATGGGGCAATAATAGCTTCCTGTATGCACTCAGCATACATTAAGTGCTCAGAATACAGTACCTGCTCAATACGTAGGCGTTATTAGAAATAATAATGGTAGAGACAGGAAACAGGTGCCATAAGGAGAAGTCTCTCAAGGTTGTGAGGAAATGCATGGTTCTTTTCACGCTATCATTAATAACAGAAGTTCACGCAGTAGCCATTAATTGACTCATTAATGTATTCATTTATTCATCATCGTGTGTGCCAAGTACTGGGTCAGGTCCAAGCTGGGTGGGTCTGGGGTGATTTTAGACCCAGGGGAGCCGCTTTGAAACTACACCTACATTTATTTTGGCTGGAGCGCCCACTTGGGCTCACCTGTGTGGAGGGCTGAGCCTGACTGAGGGGGTTTCCTGGGGCTGAGGGGGTCTGCGATGGTGGGGCGGGGTGGGGAAAAGTGTGACCTTACCTGGAGCCACACACCTGGGAGGGCGAGCGAAGGAGCCGGGCGCCTGCGCAGTGGAGCTTCGCATCTGGAATACTGCCGACAGGTGAATGCGCCCGCGGCTGCCCCGCCCTTCGACAGGTGAATCACTGGCGCGCGCGGCTCCCGGAGCCTGGATCTCCCGGAGTGGAGCGGGCTCAGTCCCCCCAAGCTGGGCTGTGGGAACCACTTCTTGCGCCCCTCCCCGGTCTATTTCTTGGTCTCAAATCCTCAAGTCCTTTCAAGGGTGCCCCAAGCTGTCACCCCACCCATGGATCCCCCAAGACTCTCCCCGACCAGCCGCAGTAGGTTCCATAGACCTCGTCCCTATCTCTTCTAGTCCTCGCCTCACCCGCCGTGCCCCCCCCACTAAGTCTGCCCTCCCCCCTCCGTCTCCCCCAAAGCTCAGGCTGTGGGGCGGAGCGCGGGCTGGGGCTGGAACCGGCCCGACCGGTCGGCGGGGGCGCGGGATGCCGAGCGTGGGAACCCGCCCGGGGCGTAGGGAGGGGGCCCGCGCGGGTCGCGCCCTGCCTGGCGATGTGACCAGCTCTCCGCGCCCGGCGCAGCGCGCCCCCTCCCGATGCGCGGTCGCGGCCGCAGTGGTCGCCCTGCGGGCCTTGGAAGAGGGGGCGGTAGCTGCGCCCTCCCCTCCCAACGCCACCCGCTCCCCCGCTCGCTCGGCCGTGCCTCGACCTGTTTCTCTGGGGGCCGGGGTGGGGGGGATCTTGCGGGTGACGCTGAGGACTGAGTCAGCCGCTTGCTGAGTTCAGTCGCTGGCGCCTGGGACAAGCCGGAGGCAGGACAACCGCCCCAGGGGAGGGGGAGGTAGAGGGGGGTGAGGGTTGGCAGCGTCGGGGGCGGAGCTTGGACCCTGTGGCTTCTCCCAGCCCCTCCCTCTGACCTCGCGGGTGCCCGTTGGAGATTTCCAGATTTAAGACCAACCCCTCCCAGTTCCGAATTCTCACACTCCTTGGTGGGCTTGGGGAGGGGCTGCAGGTTGAAGGAGTACCCTCCCCAAGATGAGGGTACGGACAGTGGTGTCTCCACCCCAACCCAACCCTCCACCTACCCATCCTTTTGTAGGAGGCTGTATATGTCCCAGGGAAGGGAGTGGAGGGTTTGTGGGAGCCCTGCTTCCGCCCCTGTGAGTGAGAGTTGCTCATTTCCGCGTGGGATGCTGTGGGTTGGTATCTTGAGTGTCCGCCAGGCCATGGCGTCCAATTGATGTGTCCCTCTGTGTGTGTGTAGCTGTGGTTTCTGGGCCCATGTGTGCCCGGGTGGTTGTGTCTCGGGGTCTAAGACCTTTCGTTTGCTGTTCCCTCTGCCTGGAATGCTGTTTCCCCTAAAGCCTTACTTCATAGGTCTGTGAAAATAGAATTCCACCTCCTCGACCCCTTCTTTCTATCCCCCTTAGCCCTGTGGTTTAGCTTCCTACGGCTGCTCTAACAAATTACCACAAACCGAGTAGCTTAAATAGTAGTCATTTATTCTCTTGAAGATCTGGAAGCTGAAAGTGTGAAATCAAGGTATGGGCAGGGCTGAGCCTCTCCACTGGGACCCAGGGGAGAACTGGCTGACAGCTTCCGGTGGCTGCAGACGTTTCTCAGCTTGTGGCTGTCTCACTCCAGTCCTTGTCTTTGTCTCCTCTTCCTTCTCCCACTCACATCTCCTTCTGCCTCTCTCTCTCTTTTTCTCTCTCTCTCTCTCGTCTCTTTTTGAGACAGAGTCTTGCTTTGTCACCCAGGCTGGAGTGCAGTAGCGCGATCTCTCTTCACTGCAGCCTTCAACTTCAGGCTAAATCGATCCTCCTGCCTCAGCCTCCCAAGAAGATGGGACTACAGGTGTGAGCCACCATGGCCAGTTAATTGGCTTGTCTGTCTTTCCTTCTTTCTTTCTTTCTTTCTTTCTTTCTTTCTTTCTTTCTTTCTTTCCTTCTTTCTTTCTTTCTTCTTCTCCCTCTTTTTTTTTTGAGATGGAGTCTCCCTGTGTCACTCAGGCTGGAGTGCAGTGATGCATTTTCAGCTGACTGCAACCTCCACCCCTCAGGTTTAAGTGTTTCTCCTGCCTCAGCCTCCCGAGTAGCTGGGATTACAGGCTCCCGCCACCACACCTGGCTATAATTTTTTTATTTGTGTGTGTGTGTGTGTGTGTGTGTGTGTGTGTGTGTGTGTGTGTGT